TCTACTGCCACCTCTACTGCAACAGATACAGCAGGAACATCCGGCATATTTCCTACCGATGACGTCATTTTTGTTTCCGCTCATACGACGACCATCATATCGTCCAGGAAATTCACTCTGCTTCCGGCAAAACCAGCTGGTCAGCAGCTGAAGCAGCAGCTTTCGGAACTGCTTACGAAATGCAAGGTAGATGAAGAAGTTGACGGATGAGTTGAGGACTTCGAGAATGAAGGTAAACTCCGTGAAGTAGAACATCGCACTGGGGCATGGAAAGTCCCTATGGTGGGGTTGAGGGTGTTTTTTTAAATAAAATCTTTTATCTCAATCAATTTTTAAACACCATGTCCGTCCTAGTTGTTTCGGGTTTTTATTGAATGCACGAGTCGATAACCCCACATTTCGTTGCGTCACGTCCTTTGTACACGCACATCTGACATATGACAAATTACTTAAGTCCTTCCTTACTTGGCTGCAGTTTAACATTCGTACTACGAAAATGGTATCTACAGTTACGTGCAACATCCACACAACACGACGCAGTGTACTTGTTTGTAACACCCACACCACACCGAGTATACTTGTTTGTGTGTGGCATACACACCACACTACGCATGCACACATGTTTGTGTGTGTGTGTATGTGGTGTGTGTGTGTGTGTGTGTATGCACAAGACCTTCTTCACAGCGATTGAATTCATTGGCAGGTTTTGAATTTTGAATGACAAACTGTTTCAACATATCAATCCATACGACCAATGTACAATCATTGCATCGTCGTAGTCATCGTTAAATCATTAACAACATTAACGTCATTAAGACGTCATCATCCCAACAGCACCGCCATCATTATCTCAAATAACATCCTCAAGTTATCATCGTCATTTTATGGCAGTCTTCCATTACTACAACTCGTCACACATACATACCGTGACGTCATCGTCATCACCACATCATTACCCACCGTGACGTCATCATCATAGTCAGCACCACATCCCATCATCATTAAAACGCACTTGTAGTTGTAGCTGAGTTGAATTATTCGCGCTGGGCAGTTGCAGACGAGGAAGATGATGATGACGACGATGAGGACGAATGTGATGCTTTGCTCGTGTTGTTGACGTTTCTTTTTGTTGTTGTTGTTGATGATGTTGTTGTTGTTGATGTTGTTGTTGTTGTTGTTGTCGCTGCTAAAAGTGATAACGTGGATGTCGTTTATAATGTTGCTATTTATTGAACTGCTTTTGTTAATGTTTCTGTTGTTGTTGTTGTTATTGATATTATTGTTGTTTTTGTTGTTATTATTGTTGTTATTGTTATTATTATTGTTATTATAAACGTTGTTTTCAATGTCTTTGTTTGCAACGTTCAAAATATCTTTATTACTAGATACTTCATTAATGTCGTTGTAACTGATTGTGAGGTCAGTAACGACGTTATTGTTGTTGTTGTTGTTGACGATGACGTCACTGATGACGTTGTCGTTGTTGTCTGTTGCGCTTTTTATTGCGCCAACCGCGAAAGCTGGTAATAAAAATTTTTCGTTGATTGGGTTGATGTTGTTGTTACTGGTATTATCGTCAGTATTTATGCTGATGCTATCATTATTATTAATAATATTGTTGTTATTATTGTGGTTGTTAATGTTGTTGTTAATGTTGTTGTTGTTGTTAATGTCGTTATTGTTGTTGTTGTTGTTATGGATTGGTGTTATGGAGAGGAAAGTCGACACAGATGTTGAGGCAGAAATATGCGCAGTTTTAGAATTTCTTGTTGGTGTGAATTCTTTCGTTGTTGTTGATGTATTTTGTGTTGATGTTGATGCATTTGTTGTTGATGGTGTCATATGTGTTGATGTTGTTGTTGTTGATGTGTTTGGTGTTGATGTTGTTGTTGTTGATGACGTGA